TATTTTTTATATGAAGGCTCGGCGTATGGTCGAGAAGGGGTGTTTGGCTTATTTTGCTTATGTTCTCTCAAGAATGATGATTTTAAGGTGCAACATATTCATTCAAGTTAATATGGTTGATTTATTTATCAAATCTCTACCAACGATCTTTTGAAGATGATGCACATGATTGAAATTTGAAGGCTCAAGGATGTGAATTGATACTCTCAAGGTTTTGTCTCACTAAGAATGATGCACATGCAAGGTTTTTTTCAAGGTTTTTAACGAGTCAACTAAAAGGCGTATTGTAGATATGCGTACTCTTTTTCTTTCACTAGATCTTTTCCCACTGGGTTTTATTTTAGCTAAGGGTTTAACAAGACATATTATCTTTTGAATAGACATTCAATGGGGAGTGTTATAAATACTATTTTATTTATGGCGAACGTCTATATTTTAGAGATATTTTAGGGTTGTTACTTGGTGGCTAAATCACTTTTTCCCTATAAATAGAGGGGTTCTATTTCATTGTAATTCATCCCAAATCAATAAGAATTCTCTCTCTCTTTTTCTCTGCAATACTTTTCTTCTTTTATTATTTCATATATATATATAAACATAAAATTTTGCGGCTCCTGACGGTAAATAGTTTCAGTCGCGGGCTAAAAGATTTTTTCTAGATTCTGGACTCTTCTTTTCTTGTGGCATAGTATTATCAGAGGCGGAGTCATAATTTAAAGTTGATTTTTTGTATTTTGATTNTTGAATATCTGTCTTCTGTATTTTTTTCCCCTCTGTTTTCTGTATTTGAGTCGTATCAAAACAAATGATTTCTCTTCGGCTTAATTCAAATTTAGTTGGGCACTGATGCGGTCGCAGATAAACGTTAATCTTGTGGGCCTAAGTTGCGTTAATCTTTGTGGGCCTAAGTTGTTTCTCGATCCCATTTTAATGAAGATATTTAATTTTGATAAAACGTTTAAGATATTAATTTCATTTAAAAATTTAATGCTGTTGACTTCTTAAAAGTTGTATAAGTTGCATAAACTTTTGAGTTTTGAGTCGTGTTAAATATTTGAGATGTTAAGAGTAGCATATAAATTGGAACATGGCTATAGTAACAAAACAGTATTTGAATTAAAATAATTGGAAATACGTATTATATTAGTAATAAAGGAGATGTAATAAGTTAAAGCTGAAAAAATGATTTTGTTTGAATATAAATTTGTGATACAGTAGAGAAAAGACATGTGTGCGGAATAGTATTTTTTTTTTCACAAAAAAGGAAATTATTTGTCATCAACCACCATTTATAGAAATCTTTTCGGTCCTTGTGCAAAAAATTGCTTCAGACTTTATTTAATAAGGAAGCACAATCACGTGATGAACATGACTTTTCTATTCAATTGTCCTCTCAAATTAATCCCATCTTCATTCATTTGTTTCAACTTCTACTTACAAAGATGACTTCTATAAATAATTGCTAGGAGCAACAATAAAAAATTGTTTTTATATAGTTTTTAATTTTATTTTTTAGTTACGGAAAGACCAATTTTGAGAAAGTAAATAATGCAGAATTATTTCCTTTATGTCTCATAAAGGCATCAAAGCGTGTTCAGAACCACATGATGAGGGAGGTGAAAACTTAACAAGTTTTGAAAAATGTAAGGAAGTTAAATAGCAATTTTTTGACTGTTTTCAGAAATGATTAAAAATGGAAGAAAGACAACGAAACAGAAGAGATAGAGACTTATGATTTGGATATAAAAATATGCGTATTTATGAGAAAGGAATAATTGCACTTTTGATCACTCGCTTATTGATAATTTTGATTTTAATTCTATGATATTGAAACAAGCATATTTATTTTAGAACTACATTCCCCTCGAATATATGACAATACAAATTAAACACAAAATAGATAATTAATTGTTTTATGTTATAAAAACAATAAAAGAATGCAGAGAAAAGAAAGAAAATATTTATAGGGGATTTGAGATGAATTACAATGGAATAAAACTTCTCTATTTATAGGGGAAAGTGATTTAGCCACAAAGTAGCAAACTCTAAAATCTCTCTAAAAGATAGATATTCACCTATAATACAATATTTTTTATAACACTCTTCCTTGAAAGCCAGTTGTTCCTATTTTTCATATGACTTCTACGGTGATACTAACATTGTCTCCTTTTGTTCTTTTGGTTTCTTGAGCCCAGAGTCTTTCGGAAACAACCTCTCTACCCTTTTGCGGTAGGGGTAAGCTAAGGTCTGCGTATACACTACCCTCCCCAGACTCCACTAGTGAAATTTTACTGGGTTGTTGTTGTTGTTGTTGTTTCTTTCTTGAATGTCAATCCAACTGATAATGTACCTCATTAAAACCTTAAATAAAATAAAATTCAGTGGGAAAAAAAATCTAGTTAATTTTGTAAAGATTCGCAAGTATGAGGATCAAAATAGCATATTTTAATTGATTGGAGGTAAAATATGCTTAGTCAGATATCATAAGTACGAAAATTGGACTATTTCAGTATTTCAAGGGTCGAAAGTGCAAAATTCCCCGTGAGAAAAATAAAAAGAGGAGTAGGACAAATGTCATAAAAGAGTTGTCAATTATAATAGGGCTAAAATAAGAGAGTCGTCATGATTAGGGTTAGGTCTTGAATGTGGGATTTGCTTGGTTTCAAGCACAACAAAATTTCAGATCTGGCTGTTTCTTCAATGCCTTTTATGGGTAAAATGAAAGAGGAAAGACGTAACAATATTGAAAAAAGGAGGCCCATCACTGTGTGAGGACCACAGCATACCCCTTAGATAACGCAAAAGTCTATAATTACAAAAGATTTGTGAAATCGGGAATTATGCAATTTACAATATAGCTTCATTAACATTTTCAATTTGTCAGCCCCAAACACATGATTTCTGCAGTCTGCAATGCTTATTAGTTATTTCAGTATTATAATATTTTATAGGCGGAGTCAAAATGTGAAGTTTATGAGTTCTGAATTTATTTCGAACTTATAACTCGTTTTAGTTATTGAATTTGCAATTAAATATTTATACATAGTTAATAAATTTCATAAAATAAATATAGGTTCGAAGTGCATTATTTCGTTTCCTGAAAATGATAATGATCTCATTTCCTTCTTCACTAATAAGTTAACTATGAGTAGTGGAGTTCGTTAACATACCATTCGAATGTACAAATGTTACTAATTTTTGTTATTTTTGTGTTCCTCAAAGTTTTAGGAAAACCATAGATAATGACAAGAGGGTGAATAATGAATAAGTCTATAAACTAAAAGAGTATTTTGACTCCAATTCATCACGTCAGCAAATGAAAGACGCGGTAAAAGAGTGAGTTCAACTCAAGAATGATTGACAAAGTGTAGATTATCTTTTTAAATCGTTTTTTCAGCTGCCAAATCGTTGTTAGCTATATAAAATTGATGCCATCTAAATCAGTGTGAAATACGTTTTTTCAAGCAATGTAAAACTGTTGGAAACTAAACCAAGATTAATTACTATTTTTAAGTTATCTAGGATTTGATATTTGGTAGTTTATTTAATTTATGGCTAGTTAGATTTTGTTTACCAAATTCATACTAGAATAGGTTTTTGGTTTTATAGTATTATAAATAAAGGTGTTACTACATATTTTTTATTGTAGAGAGGTAGCTACAATGTAAAGATATTGAAGAGTTTATGAGTTATGAAAAAGCCTCCTACCACATTCTCTCCCAAGTTTGATAAATTTCTTCTATATAGCCTTCGTTGAAATTTTTTGCTTGTGCCTAAAATATTCTTGGGGTATTTCAATCCTTCAAATTGGTGTAAGAGCTTGTGTGAGATTCTGTCAGAGCCTGTGTAAAATCCTGTCAGAGTCGGTAGGAGATCCAAAAAATGTGGATACTCTATTATCTAATTGTCCTGTTTTTGTGTTTGACGGCAAAAGTAAATGTAAAACTTGGTATCAACAGATGAAGATTTTTTTTAAGGATATTGGATTATGGTCCATCATTGATGAAAGATTTGAGGAACCCCTAGAAGGCACAACATTGACGGTTGATGTATCTATGCAATTGGAAAAGAAAAGACATTTAGATTATAAGCATGCTACTATCTCGCCATTAAGGTCGAATTGCATGTATCTAAAAGATATTTGCATGCAAAGTCATCAAAGGAGGCTTGAACAATTTTGGTGAAGTCATATCGGAAAGTTGCTCACATAAAGAAGGAGAAACTGCAAGAGTTTAGAAGTCAATTTGAGTTGGCTCATATGAGACCAACAGAATCTATCAAAGAATTTTTTACAAGAATTGAAGAAATAGTCAATGGTCTAAGGATCAATGGAGAAATATTGGAAGAAGTTAAAATTGTTGAAAAAAATATTGCAGTCTCTAAGTTTAAAGTTTAGCAACAAGAAAGTTATTCTTGAGGCTACCAAAGATCTTAGCACTCTCGGACTTGATGATTTAGAAAGTGAATTTGTGACATATGAGAGATTATTGAATCAACAAAAAGATGAGACATTGGAGAAGGCATCACAAGAAAAAGATGATCAACCAAAAGAAAAAGAAGACATATAAAAAATAACGAAAATAAATCAAGAAGGCCAAAATTCAGAAACAAAGGAGAAAAGAAGAGAAGGTACATATAATTTTTATAGTGATAGAAATTCTATTAAATGCGAAAGGAAGTCAAATAATATTTAAATTGATCTGCCAAAAATTTCTCCGGTTGTTAAAAAGGAAGATTTTGTTGCAAGGGACGTTCGTCCAAAAGGGGTTGGTGTTTCATCAGAAAAATTATTTGATGGTATTGAAGATGAACCTATGAATGAAAGAAGCAATATAGTTCATCAAGAAAAAGTTTCTAACAATCTACCCAAGATTGAGGCAAAAATAACTTGGGATCTAGAACCAGAATAACACATGATTATATGTCACGACCCCAAATACCAGTCGTGATGGCGCCTATCACATTACTAGGCAAGCCAACCCAACCACTTAATCACAACCTTTTTTCCTTATAATAAGCCATTTTCTAACACAGGTTTTAAATACCAAACTTTCATTATAAGAGTTTAAAGCAACAAAATATATGCGGAAGTCAAATAAAAATGAAACTACACAGCCCCAAATATCCGGTGTCACGAGTCTAGAGCCTCTACTACATAACTAACTGTCCGGTACAATATAAGTATAGAAAATACGGAAAAGAACAAGATAGGAAGGAGAAAACAGGGCTGCGGACACCATGCAACTACCTTACAATCTCCGTCAAACTCTGGATCAGCTGAGGACCCTCACTCTGTCGCTCGGGCACCTGGATCTGCACACAAGGTGCAGGGAGTAACGTGAGTACGCCAACTCAGTAAGTAACTAAAGAAAATAAGGTTTGAAAGCAGTGACGAGCAGTTAAAAAATCATATAAGTGAATACACAACAGGATAACAGATCAAATTCCACAGTTTAAAACCAGTTCCGTCATAAAATCATCAATTTCAGTTTCAATACTTGAAATCATATACTTTGCAATTTTCAACAGAGGCTTATATAAAAGAAGAGTGAAATCAGAGAAATATCATAAATGGGCCCCTCGGGCAAGGTTTCACTCGGAATATGGCCTCTCGGGCAGCCTCTCAGTCGCTCGTGACTCAACTCTCGTCACTCAATACTCACTCTCAGCACTTAGGCTCAGTAGTATCTCATAATAATAGAAATTATAGTAAGCGCTGCGGCGTGCAACCTCATCCATAATTTATAGTCGACTATGCTCACTGGGGGTGTACAGACTCTGGAGGGGCTCCTACAGCCCAAGTGTCATATCGCTGCGGCACGCAGCCCGATCCAATATATATATATCGCTGCGGCGTGCAACCCGATTCATATAAGTATCGCTGCGTCGTGCAACTCGATCCATAATTTATACATCTATAATTATCCTCACCATTACGTTCTCAACCTCTCTCAGCCATTAACCTCACAGCCTCTCGGGCACAACAATAGAAATTAGGGAATTCAGTCCAAACAGTGCTCACATTTAGAAGTGGAGTGATAAAACCGGTTTTAAACATTTAAACAGGTAAAATATGACTGAGGATTTGTTTTCAACAAGTAAAGTGAGGAAAAACAGTAGAAATGCCCCTAAGGGTCTCAACAGGTCGGCACAAGGCACCAAACATGGCATACAACCCATAATACAGTATAAATGACTAATGTACGGAATAATATACGATTCTAAATCAAATACGCGGCTTAATAGTCGCTACGGGACGAACCAAGTCACAATCCCTACTGGTGCACGTCCACACGCTCGACACATAGCATGTGCATCACCGCATTTATCAAAACAAGTCAAATACCGAGGTTTTGTACCCTCAGTTACAGTTTTACAATGGTTACTTACCTTAAACCGGTGAAAATACTACTCCGCGACGACTTTGCTCCTCGAATCAGCCTCCACTCGTGTCGAATCTATCCAAAATCGGAATCACAACGTCAAAATATGCTAAGGGAACGAAGCCCAAGCGAAAACAATCAAATAATACCAAAAATCTCGAAATTGGCAAAACCCGACCCCCGAGCCCACATCTCAAAACTTGATAAAAATCACATCAACAGAATCCTCATTTTTCCACGAGTCCATACATACCAAGAACACTAAAATCGGAGTCCAAATGACCCCTCAAATTCCTATTTTAAAGTCTCTTAATCACAAGCCCTAATTCTTCAATTTAGGCCTAGATTCCATGATTTACTAGGTAGATTTCACATTAGAATCGAGTTTTAAGTCCAAAAATCTTACCTCCAAGTGATTCCCCTTGAATCCCTCTTCAATCCCATTCAAAAAGCTCCAAAAACGACCAACAACGGAAGAAATAAACCCCAAAATCGCGGACAAGACGATCTTTTAAACCTTCTGCCCAGGCCTGAAATCCTTCTTCGCGAACGCGGTCAAAGCCTCGCGTTCGCGAACCACAAAATAACTTTGACCAATTTTCCTCTTTCCCGATCGCGACCTCCTCATCGCGAACGTGATACTTTGCTCAGACCAAGCTTCAGGATCGCGTTCCGCCTCTTGCGAACGCGATGAGTAAACATCCACTGAAGCTCAGCTGCCCATTTTCTTCTATGCAAACGCGACACCACCCCCCGAACGTGATGCACAACCACTTAGCCCTTCGCGAACGTGCAGACTTCCTCGCGAATGCGAAGGCTTAAATTTCACCTTCCTCAACTGACTCTTCACGAACGCGAAGAGTAAAATACGTGCAACAGCTGAAAACAAAATTTGCAACTCCAAACATCAAGAAATGATCCGATTGACCACCCGAAACTCTCCCGAGGCCCTCAAGACCTCAACCAAAGGCACCAACATATCCCAAAACCTTATTCAAACTTGTACAAATCTTTAAAACACCTCAAACAATATCAAATCAACCAAAACACATCGGATTCAAGCCTAAGTTTCCAAAAATTTCCGAATTCCAGTTTTGATCAAAAACCCAACCAAACCACGTCCGAATAACCTAAAATTTTGCACACATATCCCAAATAACACAACGGAACTACTGCAACTCTCAGAATTCCATTTCGACCCATATATCAAAATCTTGCCTACCAACCGGAAATTGCTGAAATCTCAGCTTCGCCAATTCAAGCCTAAATCTACTCCGAACCTCCAAAACTCATTCCGATCACGCTCCTAAGTCCCAAATCACCTCTCAGAGCTAACCGAACTATCAGAACTCACATCCAAGTCCTCTTACACATAAGTCAACATCCGGTTGACTTTTCCAACTTAAGCTTCCTCAAAAGACACTAAGTGTCTCAAACCTTACCAAAATCATCCCGGATTCGATCCGACCAACGCGATACCACATAACACGGATAAACAAAGCATAAAGAAGTAGAAATGAGGGAAACGTGGCGGTAGCTTATGAGACGACTTACCGGGTCGTCACATTATAGATATTGAAGATACAAACAATTTCGTGCCATTATTCGAGATTGCATGTTTCAAGGAGCATGATGAAATGTTTATTAGTGGCATTAATCTACTACCTATAGTATGTTCAATTAGAGTTGAATGGGTATACATGTCCAACTACAAGGTAACTGGCGAAGTAGATAATTGTAAAATAAATCTTCAAACAATTTCGTGCAATTATTCGAGATTGCATGTTTCAAGGAGTATGATGAAATGTTTATTAGTGGCATTAATCTACTACCTATAGTATGTTCAATTAGAGTTGAATGGGTATACATGTCCAACTACAAGGTAACTGGCGAAGTAGATAATTGTAAAATAAATCTTCAAACAATTTCGTGCCATTATTCGAGATTGCATGTTTCAAGGAGTATGATGAAATGTTTATTAGTGGCATTAATCTACTACCTATAGTATGTTCAATTAGAGTTGAATGGGTATACATGTCCAACTACAAGGCAACTGGCGAAGTAGATAATTGTAAAATAAAGGAAAATTTTATTGGTGATATTTTGAAGGGATTTACCATGAATAAAGACAAATCATATATGAGCAATATTCAAGATAAATTGAAGTTGACTAAAGATGGCACTCGTGATTTTGTTGATGCTATATATTTTAGAAAATTGGTAGGGAGTCTAAGGTACTTGACTTCTACAAGGCCTGATATTACTTATGCAGTTGGATTAATTAGCAGATTTATGGAGACTCCACGATAATCCCACTTGCAAGCAGCAAAGAGAATTTTGAGATATATTCAAGGTACGCAAACTGATGTATATTTTATTTAAAGGCTAATGATAGTAGTCTTGTGGGATTTATAGATAGTGACTGGGCTGGTGATATGATACAAAGAAAAAGTACTTTTAGCTATGTATGTTATTTGGGTTCTAGTGTATTTTCTTGGTCTTCCAAAAAGCAACAAGTTGTTGCTTTATCAACAGCCGAAGCAGAATACATGGCTGCTACAAGTAGAGCTACACAAGCATTGTGGTTAAGAAGAATGCTTGGATTTCTTCAACACAAACAAAACAGTCCTACAATATTTTTTGTGATAGCAAGTCTGCAATTGAGTTAAAAAGAATCTAGTTTTTCATGAGCGTAGCTAACACATTGATATCAAAATTTATTTTATTCGTAACTTGGTTCAAGACAAGGAGATAGTTATTGAGTATTGCAAGATTAGAGAGCAAGTTGCTGACGTTTTCACAAAGCAATTAAAATTGGAGTTATTCATTAAGTTGAAGAAGATGTTGGGCATGATCAAATTTGAAGATCTTGGTTTAAGGGAGGTTATTGGAAACTAAACCAAGGTTAATTAGTATTCGTAAGTTGTCTAGAATTTGATATTTGACAGTTTATTTAATTCATGTCTAGTTAGGCGTTGTTTACCAAATTCATATTGAAGTAGGTTTTTGTTTTTGTAGTATTATAAATAAGGGTGCTACTACATATTTTCTATTGTAGAGAGGTAACTACGATATAGAGATTCAAGAGTTTATGAGTTGTGAAAAAACCTCCTACCACGTTCTCTCCCTAGTTTGATAAATTTCTTCTATATAGCCTTTGTTGAAATTTTTTGCTTGTGCCTAAATTATTCTTGGGGTATTTCAATCCTTCAAAAATCAGCTTAAAAGCATTCTAAATACACAAAGAAGAATTCAAAAGATAATTGCAAAAAAATATAAGAAAGAAAACACATGTAAGAAAAAGAAAAAGAAAAAGAAAAAGAAAAAGAAAAAGAAAAAGAAAAGGGATTCTTTGTGTTTGGAAAACAGTGACTATTCCTACAAAAAAAAGAAACAAATTCAGGAAAATGCATACACTGATTTGACACCAAAAATAGGCCCATATTTTAAATATTCCATAATCTGCTGAAATTGTTTACCTCAGAAGATCGTGATCCCTTTACTGTTCCTGGTGTTTAATTGAGCATACGAGGTAAGAAAACCTTCATCCTCTGGGCTCTAAGTTAGGCCGTTCGGTAAAAAAAGCAGCCTAAAATAAAGCGTTTGAGTGCTTCTTTAGCCCAATTCGCTATGTAGAATTGTAAGGCGTTTGGCCCACTAATTATTTCTTGTTGATGATGGGTCTTTACACCCATTTCTCGATAAGCCGATGGTCAGAGACTTGTCCTCTTTTTCTTTTTTCCGGTCAAAATTCGATCGAGTTATTCAATTTTATAAGGTGAATAAAACCCACATAATATAGGGATACATCGAGATAAAACCTGCAATTTTGAATTTTAGATGGATTCACTAGAAAGTAGGACAATATAGCAATACAGCATTTTTTTCCTTATTTTTTTCCATTATATTAAAGCTCAATGGATAATTCCGTCTATCTTTGTACATTTGTCTTGATTTAAGTAAATTGACTAGCACTTATTTGTAGAATTTCATTCATTGAGATTTCACGACTAACATGAATTAGAATTTTCATTTTAGTTGTTAACTCGCAATGATTAAAAGGCATAGAATGATCAAGAATATCATCAAATTAAACAAATCAACTCACCACAATTTAACATGAAGAGTTTAGCCGAGCATATAGCAAGAAAACCAATATGTGTTAGAGTCCCACATTGATGGGATATAGGTTTTTTTTCATAGTATTAGAGTCAGACTCATTCCAATTTATTGCTTACCTAATGTTGGATCTCATCTTATGTTATTCATGCTCTATTTCTTGATCTCCTTGTATAGTATTCTCACATCTTGAACTATTGAGGTTGAGTTAGACTCAAGATTCAGTTCGACGTTAGAGTAGGGTATGGAGGAAGGATCATGTAAAAGTAGCTAGGACACTCTTTTTCTGTCATTTATAAGCCAGATCATTGTTACATACGTGTTAAACGGAATCCCATAATGGCTTGAAAGTTGGAAGCCATGTTTTCAATCGGGTACAAAAAGAAAGTGGTGGAACTCAAAAAACAAGCGGCTGTGAGGCTTCAATGAATTCATAGATTTGACAGTTACCTGATTACAAATTAACACTTCCCTAAAGTTTTGTTCCCTTCCCATAATACCTAACTCCAACTAAGAGATTCCAGACATTTGTGCTTACCAGCCACATGCCATATACTGAACATACATGAGTCTCTTGGAAATCTCTTCATTCTTTTTTATTTCCCACTTAAATGCATGCCTCCAAGCCACCTCTCTGATTTTTACCAGCCACCTTCCTTCTGTTTTCTAATTGAAACAACTTTTGTAGAGGAATCACTAGGGTTATAACAATGTCTTTATATAATGTTCAAAGGGATAACAAAAGATTAGTGCATTCAGGATAAATATTCAAGCTAAAACCAAATATATGTGGACACTTGGGCCAAATTTGACACTACTTACAGTCCATGTTACCATATCCATATAGTGTACTTCATTTACCGGTTTGTTATATAGACTAACCAAAAGTAACTCTATGTGACATAATAACCATGATTGTTGAAACACAATATAATTAAGTAACTAAATGAATAGTGTGTTCTCTCCTATGTTGTGCAGACTCTATAAAATACTATCGCACTCGTATCCGATTTTCTAAAAATATACTGTTTTTGAAGAATCCGACACGGATCCGGCGATATTTTTGACCGAACAACATAAGTATTGTTGAATGTCTGATAACATATTTACTGCCAAAACCCTTGACATCTGTTAAATTAAGTGATGTTTATGAGGAAGGAAACAAATTATGTCATCACCTAAAATTAAAATCTTAAAAACATATATAAGGTTCACTTAACAGATAAAAGAAAGCCACTTAATTTTCACTAACTTCAGTTTAGATCATTTATTTGTAACAAACCTTATTTACATCGGTCTTTCGTCCCCACACTTCTACCGGCCTAACCTTATCTTGATCAATCCAAGGTCTTTCAAGCAACATAGCTTTTTTAACTGACTCTTTACGAGTTTAAAATTACTTTAGTATGGCGCAAACAGCTAGTAAATTTAGGTAAAAAAAATTGAGAATTTTTTTTAAAAGTTAATAATCCAGCCTACAAAATCATGCAGGAAATTTGATAAACACACCATCATGTCTAATCAAAACAGAAACACATCTTATCTCCCCTAATATATGATTTATTATATAAAGGGCTCACTCATTACAAACGATCTCACGCCTTCACACATATAAACAAAGCCAAATACAAATCAAAAGAGAAGGAATTAGAAACTTTCCCATAGTTTCTTAATAACCTTCACTCTTGAACACGCAGAAAATTAAACATGTACAAACACATACCCAAATACAGATCTCCAATTTAAATCTCGTATAGTACTAAAACTTACTTCATGTAGGAGTGGAAGAAGCAGAAGTACAATCAGAAGCAACACCAGTTTCCACTTCCTTTCTATGAAAATTGCGGTGACAGCCACAGGCTGCACAAGTTAGGGCGGCGCCGGCAGTTGCTCCCGGCATGAACTCCCGGCAACCATCGACGACGTATCCGCCGACACTGGCGGCGTGATTCTTCTGACACTCTACATATCTCACTGTCCTCACAGTAAAGGACGATGATGAATTTGTAGAGTTGTTTGAGGAGTCCTTTGATGATTTCCTCAAAACTTTTTTCATCTCTTCTTAAGTGTAGAGAGTTCTCAGCCGAACAACGAGAAAATAAATGGCATATGTGTGGTGGAGATTAAGGAAATTAAGATTAAATAGCTACTTTCTCTTTTGTTCTTTGGCAAACCCTAACCCTAATAGGCATATTTATACAGCGACCCAATAAAACCCTTTTTCTAAGTGTCTTTCTGTAGCATAGGTTTGGTTTCTCAGTTATTTTAATAAATTTAACTCATACCAATTTTTATGTTAATTTATTGTGTTTAACTAAAGTGTCTTACCGTGTTTTTACTGTTCATTCATTCGTGACCATTGGGGTCTTTCCATGGTAATTTTTTTCTATATAATAAGGATCATTGTCATGAATTGAAAGCACAACTTCCAATCACTTATCAAATTAGCTTGGCTTTAAAAGGATTTGTCGCTTCGCATTTTTGGAAAAAATTGAATGAATTATTACTAATATTTTCATTTGGCGAGTAACAGTGATGTATTTTTATGGAATGAGCAGCTATATTTGCTTTTATATAAGCCTAATTACCTGTGGCCCTAATAGCAAACATTTAAAATTTTTAGAGCCGTTTCGCACGAGTGATAAGGATAATTAATCTCGGAGTTAAAATTTGAGATGAGTTTATTCCATTTTTTGTTGGGATAAAATCGTCGTATAACTAAACCCCGGATTAATTATTCCGGGATTGTAGTATTTTTTTATCCCTACGGGAGGATGGGATAACTAATCCCGGGATAATTAATCATGGGATAACTTGTTCCAAACCAAACGACCCTTAGGCTATTTCTAATCCAGAGCTGCTAAGAAAGTTCTAGAGCCTGATGGGAATATGTAATTTGTTTAAACATCATAACAAAACTGTGGAGACAAACCTTTTATGTTCTGTTCAAGTTTATTTCCATGCAGGTAATAATAGTACTAAATTACACAAATTAAAATCATGGATATTCCATTTAACCGACTATAATTGGTTGCGACAAATTAAAAAGAAAGGAGAGCTTTATAGTATTTATTTGCTTATGAAACTCTCTTTCTTCCTATTAAAGGATGAATTAAGCAAGACTGCATTTACTAAATAAACAAAAGGAAATTAGGCCTCACAGTGGGACAAAACAGAAAATTAGGCCTCACATGTTATAATCTTTTCCAAACAATTATTTATTCGTCGAGACAATGTGTTTGGCAATGGTGGATAACGACCTCAATGAGCTTTAAATGTTTTTCACCCATTTCTGCTGCACATATAAGTCGGTTGAAAATTGTAATCTGCCAAATGTATTCGTTTTCTCGAGTCATTTCCTTCGATGAAACCTTTTTCCCTCCTTGCTTGAGTCGTTTCAATGTCTGTGTATTTATTTTCTATCCTTCTACCCAACCCTTTTCCTTCCTATTTGTTATGTTTACATATCTTTTTCAAGCGTATAACGATATCTTAAGATGCTCGATTTCAAAAGTTTCATGGTTCTCTAATGTATGTTTAATATTTATGTGAAAGTGGAAATGCCACAACGGCTGAAGATATAATTTAAGTAAATACTCTCTAGCAACGTAAGATAACTATTTAGATGAAATGATTACATATTCATCACGGTATAAGAGTAGACCGAGATCCTCGGTTCAAGTCTTATTGATCGCCACCCATTACAAAAAGATTAAAAAAGTTTATGCTCGACTCATGAAAAAGAATTAAATGCGGGCTTGTTGAGGATATACTTTAAGTAGTAAAAGTATATCATTTCTAATAGTTTAAACTTTTAGATGAGATTGTCACAAAGTTTATCAACAACTAGTATAAATTTTAACAGGAACAAAACTTTGAATCCCACTAACTTTTCCACTTGAGTTATGAAATGGACACCAAATGGTAATTAGACCCCATTATCCTCATTTTCATTATTAAATTATTAACAGAAAATTGACCCAAGGTATGAGATGAGTAGTGAAAGGGGCGTATATAGATCGGTTTGGTTCGGTTTTTATCAAAATCAAACCAAATCAACTATATTGGTTTGGATTGGTCCGATTTTGTCGGGTTTTCGGGTTTTTTTTGTTACATGAATATTATTTCAATCTTACTTTGTTAAAATTATAGATAAAGTTTTGATAAGTGAATATATGTTTAGTAAATATGAAAAAAATTGACAAACATATGATCTATTAAAATATTCTAATGGGAGAATTTTTTTGGTAACACATGATAGTTATTTTCTTAGTCGTCTAACACTAATTTTTCATTAATTTACGCTTTCAAGGTTAATACATGAGAGGATCCCAAATATTTCTACATTTTTAAAGAAAAATCACTGTAAAGTCTTAAAAATATAAATAAAATTTATATATTTATATGTCGGTTTGGTTCGAATTTTTTTACTCAATACCAAACCAAGTCGGGTTTTTTAATTGGTTTGGTTTGCTTTTTCGCTTTGGTGCGGTTTTCCGGTTCAGTTTGAAGAAAAGAGAGGGCGCTCTTCTAATATTTAGCTCCTAGATGCTCTACCTCTCTATTTTCAAAAGCCCGAGTCAAAAGAGAAAAGAAGACCGGATTAAAAGAGATGTATTGCTAGTGAACTTACAGAGCGAGCTGTAAAGGTAGAAAAAAATAGATCAATCAAGAGATAGTGGTTCTAAGCAAGGACAGACGACTGAGTCTGATCTTAATTTAAAGATGGAAGGAAGACCCGGATGGACTTAATTTGAGTATGCCTGAGATTGCCATAAGACCTTCTCCCTCTTGGAAACAGGCTAATCAAAAGGGGGGACTTTTTCCATTTTACTTTTTTGTAATTTTCCGCTTTCTTGCCTTATTATATTATGGGAGTACAATGTTTATGGATAGTATGCTGCATTGGTTAAAACTCTAGAGATGACCATAACTAGAAGACTGGATGAAGCACATTTAATTTGATCGATTCTCGGACTATCACATAAATAAATTGCACTGCTATATATTTCTCAAAGAATGTCTAGGCGCCAAAAATTTATAGCCGTAAATGTTAATTATCAATCTCTCGATCTTGCTAGTCAATTAGTAACTCACAGAAATGTTGCCTAAATATATTAAAGCCATATGTTTTAACCTTCACAGAAATATTTAATGATTAGATAGGATTAATTATTTGAAAGAATACGTTTCTACAAATAAAAACAATAATAATAATGAGGGCGCTTGCTATCTTTCGCAAAATTTCTGATACTATTTAATTGAATCGCAAAAAGTGTTTGCACACATTTCTCTGTATCTAAACATATAATCATATGCATGCATGTACATTATTATATAAAATATGGAAGCTGCTCATCTGATATGTCGATACTAAAAGTGGGTGGGTGGGTGAAGGAACTAGGAAGGCAGTTTAATTATGATAATTCATTAGATAAAGTAATTGAAATAAAGTGTTTAAAGAAGGTAGTTAGTAAATGTTAATGATAATGGATTTTGAGGTTGATAGGTAATTAATTAAAAAGAAGCATGATTGTGCTTTTGTGAAGGATTAAATTGAATTATGACTCATAAGGCAGATTTTGCTTCTCACCAACCCGACCCATCTTGTGACGCCCACAGAAAAAGGGTTATGAGTTTCATTAGTTTTTGGGACCAGTAAACAAAGAATCTTAGGCTCCTATATTTAGCTTTTTCCTCTATTAGTTTGTGAAGAAAATTGTCGTAAGTAATAATCAAATCAATAAGACAACTAAGCACGGTTTTAATTATTGAAACAAACAATGAAGATGTTTGCTTGAATCTGGAAATTTGGTGTTGATTGATGCAACTTGACACAAGTTAGATGCCGTCTCATACTTTTCTAATCGAAAATACCATTTGCTTTAACTAATTATAGGATAGTTCTTCCTTTTTCTTTCTCTATTGTTTTCCACACGATAAGTACACCTTATAAAATTTTAAACATATATATAAGGGTGTAATCGCAAAAGAGACATGAATTAGGGGTGTATAACGCAAAGAACTCCAAGTAATGCACATAACAGAAATGACAATGTTGAGGTCCTGAAGAGTGTTCTCATTTTCGTCAAAATAATGGAATACATTATTTCAAATATTAACTTGTGGACTTGTGATGTGAGTAACTTGGTAATATGAGTTACATTGCGTTAAATTAGTTCACACTTTTGTAGTATTTTCAATAGTGAGATATGTGTCAAAGGTCTTCGCGAATATGAAATTAAACTAAAATTTAACTTAACATATGCTCACTCAACTTTAATTTTATTCATATTCCCTCAATTACCTTGTTGGACTAATTTTTTATTTTCTTTAAATTTTTCACCAGGGAATAATTTTTTCTTTTACATACATGAAAATATATAGAAGCATGAGACAACATGGGCCCCAATTTTCAATCTTCAAACGGGGCATTTGTATCTATACCCGCTTTTTGTGTCACGTTTTAACTTGTGTCTGCTTTGGGAAAAAAATTGCAAACGTACCCGCTTTTTCGCATAATTTCATTATACGGGACTGAAGTAGCAAAGGCAATCACGCAAAACTTCAGCATTCTAATAGACGAGCCTGAATTAGCAAGTGTGCTGAAGTTTTTGTTTTTGTAATTGGCGAACTTCCGCTCTAGAGCTGAAGTTTTCGTTTTTGTAATTAGCGAACTTCAGCTCTAAAGCTAAAGTTTTTGTTTTTGTAACTGGCGAACTAAGTTTTTGTTTTTGTAATTGGCGAACTTCCGCTCTAGAGCTGAAGTTTTCGTTTTTGTAATTAGCGAACTTCAGCTCTAAAGCTAAAGTTTTTGTTTTTGTAACTGGCGAACTAAGTTTTTGTTTTTGTAACCGGCGAACTTCAACTCTAGAGCCATACATTGTAGCAATTCAAATACGAAAGGCAAAACAACCATACAACTATACAAGTTTCATAAATATCAAGGTCCTATGTAATTTCTTATACGGTGGGGTTCTGACTTGGATCTTTAAGAGAAATCTCAATAAGAGTACATCCAATAATCATCTCCCAAGTCTCAGTAAATTTTAATATCTGTTGTACCAGTTACAAGGTTTTGTTTTCCTCCTGGGCTTGGCATCGAGGAATGTCAGAACAACGTGAGAAGAAGTTTTAAGTAACTTCAAAACCTCCTCTGATGCCTCTTCTAATTTATGAGCATAGCTCTCCCAAACAATTGTCAGTTTTTCCAACACTCGTGCATTCTTCAGAAAGAAGAAGAAGAAGAAGAAAGAAAATGAAGGAGGAGAAAGGGGGTTAAAGTTATTTAAAAAGTGGGTACAAGTTAAAAGTTTTAAAAAAAATAGGTATAAATTAAATGGGAGCGACCAAATAGAACGCCTCATCCAATATTTACTTTTCAAACCCAATAAGCTGAATTAC